AACTTCTGTGCCATATCTTGTCAATCATGTAAAGCATTCTTCAGGCGAAATGCCTTCAAGTATGAGGTAAGAAATGAATCAATAATATGATATTATTTATATATAACTACTATTATCTAAAACTGTGACCAGAAATACAAGTGTAGATTCAATAATAACTGTTTGATTGACGAAAAGAACCGAAGATTATGTAAGAAATGTCGGTTAAGGAAGTGCTTTGCGGTCGGCATGAAAAAGGTGAGAAAACAATGAGTTTGTAATAAATATAACAATTATTTTGATTTATGATTGGATGCGAAGGAATGGATACTAAATGAAGAGGAAAAGGAGTCGAGAAGACGACAAATAGAAGAAAACAGAATCAAGAAGTTTGGAGATAAGAGGAAAGCAAGTAATGGCTCAACAATCTGTACATTACCTGATATCGATGCTCAAGAAACTGATACTTTATTAAATGTCATGCACTCTGAAGAGATCACTGATTATGTCGAGACAATCAAGAATTTTGATATAAATGATGTTAATATGCCTTCAGATAAAACAACCGATATTGTGTCAGATATTATAAATGAAATAGCTAATTATTCAAAATATATTTATACAGCTCTAATAGAGAACCCTAATTATGTAAGTAATGTAAGAATTGAGGAATTAGATAGTGTTCAAATCACGGATAGTACACTAACTTCGAGTACATATGAGACAAACAGTGAAATACTTTCTTTAGATTTATATAATAGTGATATTCATAGTAATGTCACAGAGAATAATGAAACCAGTAATGAATGTGAAATGGCTATCGAAATGATCATCAATAACACAATTGATAAACTCAATGATTTAAACTACTTTAACCAATATGAATGCAAACGTTTGCACGAATTGTTTAATCTACCCTTGTTCAAACAAATTAAGGAAAATAATGTATTAATTATGAATTCAAGGGATGAGCCCATATATACCATATCCATAAGCCCTGATAAGCTCATGGAAGGGGTTGCTAAAAGGTTTGACTTAACCCTCCAGAAATTGGTCACCACACTAAAGAATCTGGGTGCCTTTCAAAGCCTATCATTAAATGACCAAATAGCCATGGTCAAGCATAATTGCTTTGAACTGGAGATTTTAAATGCGGGTTTAGGTTTTAACCATAAAACGGAAGGTTGGATTTTCAAAGGGGTATGCATATTGATATACATTAATTATAATTACTAGATTTTAAGTCATTACACTGTTTATAAACAAAGTTATTTTTGCAACATAGGACAATAATTTATTGTGCAAGTTAGAATTGAATACTTTTGATGGGTTTAAGAATAACTTCCTGGCTCTTTTAAAGTACTACTTGAACACAATCGCAAAGGAATTTGACTCCGATTTACATATACTCGGATTGGTATTATTATAGTTTTTAAAAATTATACAGGTAGATTAATTATGTGAAATATTTTATGTTTATTTCTGACAGTTAATACCCGTTATACTATTCAATCCGGAGAGACCTAACATTATTCACAAGGATATGATCGAGTAAGTAATTGATAATAACGAAGTAATTAAGTAATTTAATAACAAATTTTAAAATATAATAGGCTCCAGCAACAGTTATATCTCTATTTGCTTCAAAAGTATTTACGTATGAAATATGGCTCTGAATGCGAGAACAAATTCACAAAGATTTCAGATATGCTACAAGACTTGCAAACATTGA